AACATAAAACCCAGACTAGAATAAGCCAAAATACATGTTAACAAGCCACAAACTTTCTGTGATTAATAGACAAAATTTGAGCTTTTCTGGGCCACTCTCATAGTTTTTTTTTATTATACGAATGATACAAACTTATCCAAGTCTTCATATAAGCTACTTTTTCTCCTCCCGCTATAATTAAAACTCCCACTGATCTCCTTTTTAAATCTATAATGTGCCCTCTCTCTTTACCAARCATCCTTGAATGGAAACACTCAGGTGAAATGAACTCAGACTGTGCAGCTACAGTGCAGCAGAACACAAGCCCAGTTCAGTTCAGTCCAGTTGGCTCGATCTCAGCCCAGATCTCCAAGCTGACATGATTACACAGAGGCTTCCTGTCTCCTCGACCCCGATACCATCGCAGTCTGACTTCTCTCCCCCCACCTCTCCTTGCTGCTCAACCTCAGATAACAACAATTACACCCTAATGGGACAGTTTGATTTAGAAAACGCCATCTAAGCAAAGCACATGTTCATCAAAAGCATGGCTCATTTAAGAGATTAAAACTCGGCGTTTCCCCGCGCTACAAAAAAATTTAAAAATCCTGTTTTAGGAAACAGCCGCTCAGGAAAGGAGGCYATTCATGTGCAGACCACAACTCTGGTCATGCTAAATGTTGTTTTATTTTTTTAAAGACACAATTAAATCCTCCACGCTGGGCATAACACTGACATGTGAATGTTTCCTTTCATAATTACTCATTTTTAGTTAAAACACATACTGAAAATTGGTCCTCTGTGGATTTTTTTACCAACTTCCCGGTGGATGCTGTTAATGTCATTTTTTTAGGACTGCACATGGAGTAAATGAAAACCAAATGCCACAGCAGGTTCCAGTCAGAGTGATTATATGTCGCACAACGACTTTAAAAAAGGAAGAAAAAAAAAGAAGCTAGAGGTCGTTTGCATTTGTTCAAGTCAATTAAAACAGCACAGCAGAAGAAGAAGAGGACAAAAACAATGCAGCAAATTAAGCCCTTTCAATAATCGGATTTAACGAGCTGTAAAGAAGGAAAAGATTATTTGACAAACGTGACAAAAATAACAYGTCTTGTCATGCAGCTGCTCACTCGCTGTCAGTCACAATAAGAAAATCTAGMGCTTTATGTGCAAAACATGATTCAAACTCACCAGAAATCAATCACCGTGAATGTTGATCAAAACACATTAAAGTGAATGTTGTTCATAAAGGCCATTTTTGTGATTCCATGGGTAAAAAAAAAGAAAAAAAATCAAAAGGTTATTTATTTTCTATTTGCTGACCCTGAGGTGATGAARTACATCTGCACAGTTTGTGATACAGCCGTGTTTGTTGTGAGAGGAACCATCCGAATGGACTCCGGGGACTTTCTTCTACCAAACCCCATCAGAAGCACCACTTTCATCACATCCTTCACTGGAGCAAATTACCATATCAGCAGCACGATCTGAAAGCAGCCCCCCGAAACCACAATCTGTGCTTTCTGACGCACAATTAAAAGATGTCAAACTTGGTTTCTTTTACACTGTTTTGGTTCTGGCTGTCAGCGCTTCAAAGATTATCTTAAAGAGGGCCCATTTAGCGAAGAAAGCGAACCGGCCAGGTTCACTGACGGTGATGGGCAGGCCCAGGAGCCCTGGGGTAACCAAGGAGGACAAAAGAAACAGATCCATGATAAGAAAAGCAGGGATGGTGGTGGGAGCAGGTGGAGGGGAGGACTCCAACTTTCTTCTCTCCTGGGAACCCGGGAGGCTAAGACTCAGAAGCTGCTCCACACAGGTATCATGTTCAGCAGGTCCTTCAGTTCTGCAGGCCTCCTGTCCAAACTCTCTGTCTGCTTCAGTGGAGAAATGCGGAGGCGCCACAAAGAACGCCAGCAGGTGAAACACAATCCTCAAGTCAAGCTTSATACTATGGTTGCTGTTCTATAGGAGAAGTGGCGTTACAGCCTTTCTGCCTGCTTTCACGTGACATGTTAAATGATAAAACATCCTCAAACACAAATAGGGATCAACTTTAAGATACCTGCCATGGTGCAACTTCCTGCCTTTTCTGACATGGGAAAAATGGGGCAAACTGAAAGTTTTCAGACCTGAAACAACTTCCAGTGTGACACCAGGCAAACCGTTTCATCAAAGAGTCACTGCTGAGTCCACTGTCAYGGACTTCTCTGCAGCAGGAGAGTAAAAACAATTGGAACAAAAACTAATGATTATTAGAACAAGACAACTCAAAGCCAACCGTTGCTGATGTCCCCCGTCGCCACTCAGCAGTGACCAACTGTTAGTTTTGTTGGACTCATCACARGCCTTCATTATTTAAATAATCTCATAAGGTGAACAGATGGATGGATGAGGGGCTAAAGTGATCTTGCCAATCTACTACACAAACGTGTTGAGCAGGTCTCCCTTATGATGCACACAAAATTTGGTTCAGATCAGACCATGTATGCAGAATTTAGAGCATAACATATGTCAACAATGTGATGCATAATTAGGYCATGCCTCCTAAAATTTGGRCTGCATTCCWGTAGTGGGATGAATTAGGATCACCCATAGCGAATAACGTGCTGATTGGCTGAAGTATGTGGAATTTAGAGCCAAACATATGTCAATGGCGTGATGTCCAACTTCGCCGCACCGCCATGACCACGCCTTTCACTAAAACGTTTTTGTGCTTGAAAGCAAGTGAGATCAATTCTTATCTGTGCTCTGACATGATTTGTTGCTGATTAGGTCAAAAGGGTGATAGATGGAGCTTTCCAAGCCAAAAAAAGTCACTTCCTGTTGTCAGGGGCTGGGGCTTTGATGATGTCATATGACTACACGGTGTGGTCGACCATGCAGCATGAATGTCTCATACCAAGTTAGTTTATTTTAGCCTTTCTGTGTGAAAGTTACAACTTTCTGAAATTGTAACAGATGGATGCATGGAAAGCATTTCTATGCCCCCCACCTCTGYGACGGGGGACAAACAGGTTTGCAACACCACTTTTGTCTGTGGTGTAAGCAAAATATCTCATAAACTTTCAGGGTAATCCCTATACCTCTGCATCTGAAGTCAACCCAGTTCAAGATGGCCACTACAGTAAACCAGGCTTGGCCAGCAACACAAAGTTATCTTTTGACAGAAACTGAGCTAAATTTGATGAAAGATTTGCTTTGAATCTGATTATAACAAGATTCTGGCAGCTCCTCCAAAGAGACAAAKGGTTTCTTAGTTAAAGCAGTTGATTTACAGTATTTGAGCATTTCTGTTTTAATGTTCATTTTTGCATTATTTAAAGCAGCAAGTAAAGGTAAACAATGTTAGCTAATCAGACATGTTTGTACACGTGTTTCAGCTCTTACAGTGGAAAGAGTTCTATATAAAATGCACTATTTTCATATTTTGCCATGAAAGGTTTTTATTTCTAAAGACATTAAATTGCAGCTCAACAAGGTTTAGGCAGTTTGTGAAAGCGTAGAGAATAGTTGAGTAAATCTATGTTTTCTTGAGGATAAAATAGATTTTTCAGCCTTCTGTGAGCTACAAAGAGGCCTGCAGAGCTTCAAAAAAAAAAAAAAGGAAAAAAAAAAAAGGAAAAAAAAAGTAATAATTTCCGGCAGCTTTTTGGCTTTTATCCACCGGACAAGACTTGGACTGTTACACGAACACGCCGCAGCAAAGAACGATGATGGCTGCAATAACGAGACGCCATCTAAACTTTAGCACCCGGCAAACAATAATGCCACTTCCCATTAGCGGGTCAGTCAGGCTAAGCTTGTGCGGTGCAATAAAAATGTGCACTCAGTCCAGAAAAAAGCAGATAAAACTACAGTGAGATGAGGCCCCTTCATGGCCATGAGTGGATTCAATCAGAGTGAATTAGAGATGTGAAGGGTTCCAAGGTTTTGTCTTGTTTCAAGTGGAGATTGGGGGGAAAGAGAGAGAGAGAGAGAGAGAGAGAGAGATTGAAAATTGACCTGCAGCCTTCATTTAGTGACAATGTGCTAAAGTATTATAAAGTATGATGGGTGTTCATCACAGCCATCTGCACAAGCAGGGGCAACACGGCAGCACAAAGGGGTTTMAATTGAAAACTATAATGCTCATTAGTCTCAACACTCTGCATCAGCACCAATCAGAAGTTGTACTCGCAGCAAGAGGGGTCCTGGATAAATTACACCTCTAGAMAAATCTAAGCACACAGTGAGAAGTGAATTATCAGGCTATTGTGATCTACAATATGATTTCTTAATAAGGACATGTCAAAATTATACGGATGTCTGTAGTTTATATATACTTGAGACATTTTAGTCGTTTTACAGCCCTGACAAGTTGGAGATTTCCCTCCCAATTACATTACTCTTCTATAAAAAGCGTGATGGCAGAGGATGAGAGAAAACCCTCAGATGCTGAAGAAAATACGTCCAACAACTGGATCTCAGAGCTGAAAATGTCTGAGAACAGAGTGATAACTGGAAGATGGTGAGCTGTTTGAGAAACAGAACAAAGGTTCAGCAGATAAAAAGAACCGAAAGTTAGCATCTACTGTAGTGTTGTCCAATCCTGGTCCTCAAGGGTCAGTGTGCTTTACAGGTTTCCCTGCTCTTCATGATGGAGAAGAATTCATTCAATCAGGTGTTTAAGTAGGAAAACATCTCAAGTTTAAGTGTATCAAAAAATGTAATTAAGTTTTATTAAGTCAAAGAGAACAGGGATAAAAGTAACCCTTGGACAAGAGGAAACAATCTGATGTTTCTCTGCTTCAACACACCTGATTTGAATAAACGAGTGATTACCAAGCTTCTCCARAACTTGAAGACCTGCTGAAAATAAAAATATAAAAACATTTTATGTGTTTTTTGCACCGTTTCCCATCCAGAGGTTTCATAATGCTGCTGACCAACCTAAACCAGGTTATTACTACTGCATCTTCTAGGTTTATTCTTGTTGTATTCCTAATCTGTTAAACTGATAAATAATGTAGTCAAAGTAAAACTTATTTTCTTGATTTTATTATTATTTTTTCCCTCTTAGGAATAAACCCATTAGAACATACAAAACCACTTTTTTATTTCATTATGAAGCAAGTGCTTCAGAAAACACTGGAAAGTTTAGACAGAAAATGAAAAAAATATCTATTATGGAGGAAAAAAACAACAGATATTCTCTGCAGGACTTTGTGAATCCCTGTGAAATATTAAACATCATTTAACATCACGTTGTGATTAAACGCATAAAACGAACAGGAAGTCACACCGTCCAGTTGAAATTCTCACTTGCTCTACTTTTTCAGCGTCATCTGGAAAACAAGAGAGGTCATCTCTGTTGCAGCCTATCACCAGCTTCAACATTTCTGTAACACTGCAGTGAAAGTCTGTGGTGATGTGGGCTTTCAGGACAGACCGGACCTCAGTTCAGCAGCATCTCACAATCAGATCAGGCCTGCGACGCTAACCTCTCGATGATTCTCCTGTAGTCTTCCACAATGACCTGATAGCTCTTCTCCAACTCCTCGTGCTGCGTCTTAGTGTCCATCTGGCCCATGTGGGACACCAGCTCTTCTGGTCGGAGGCACTTCTTCATCTTTGCCAGTTCCCTCTGGTTTTTCTGAACAGCACAATCAGAAAAATATAATTAAACAAAAATAAACCGGGATACCAACCAGCCTGATTTTTTCTGATGTCAAACTGCACGCATAGATATGAAAACTAAATAAACAAAAGAACCCTGTAGGAAGAACTGCAACCAAAAAGCCAAAACCTTTGAGACGTAAAGCTTAATACATGAGGTGCATAAAAAYGGAAGAATTGGTCAAAGATGTATTCTGCAGCTGGACAATGACCCCAAACATACAACCACTGTCATTATTAAAGAAAAGAACAAGATGTCCCTAAARGGATCACAAATTCTGGCTGCTTAAAAGCAAGAGGAAAAAACACCTTGAAATTAACCTGTCTCTTTAAGAATCTCCAACCATTTCTGACACTYCCACTTCAGCACGAATTCACAACAATACTTCAAGCCATTTACTACCTTTCCTTGCGTTGCATCTGGTTGTAAAAAAGAAGCAACATTATATAATATCAGTTTTGGACAATGGCAACTCTATATACAGTTGAACCCTACTYGAATGAACCCACATTGGACCAGGAAAGTTGTTTCCTCGATGTATAACTGGTCACAGTCCTCCTGACACCTAACACCTAACAGCATACACATCATGACTCTGTTTGTGCCGGGGGATGGGATCGTTGGGGTGAACCAGTCTTTGTTGTAACATGTTTTGGGGTTTAAAAGCCACTGGGACATCATGTGTAGAGAATAAACGTCTCAGTTTCTCTCTCTGCCTTGCTTTCTTTCCCGATCTAGATTACTGAGATGCATCAGGACATTTTTAGGATATGTATTATTAGTCAGATGGAGCTGTGTGGCAGAGGGGTGCTCTCTGGGGTGGGAGCTCGGCAGAGGACTGACCTCCAGGGAGGGGCTTTGGGYAAAAAGGCGGTGCTTTGCATGAGATTCAAGGATTTCTCAAGCATTCAGGAATGAGTCAAAGCAACATTGGGTATGTTTTTGATGAGGAAATGATATTGGCTATGTCTCAGTTCAGGGGTTGCAGCTGATGTAGGGCGCATTTTTTGGCTGCTTTTGTTACCTAAATAAAAGAAGATGGCAGAGGTTATTTTCTTTTTTTTTTATTTTACGGAAGAGTTTGAAAATTTATCACGGACAGAAGAATTTGTTTTTAAATTCAAATTTAGCAACTTATCTGATGAAATTTTTGCTGCAATGAGATGTAGGGTTGGGCATAATCGTGTCGTGTGCAATTAATCGCCAGAAAAACATTAATCGATTATTTTTTGGCACTTGACAATGACTGGAGATTTCTCCCATCAGTCTACTCGATGCTCTGCTCCGCTTCAAATATGACGAACATAAAAAAAAAAAGTTCTGCAATGTAATTTTGACACAGTTTGGAACAGATTTTTACAAAAAAACAAATCTTTCCCACTAAATTGGTCAATTGACTAGGACATAAGGGCATCCAGGGGATTAATCATCAAATTAATCATTATTGGCTAAATACCACAATTAATCGTGATTTTTTTTTTTTTACTAATATCGCCCAACCCTAATGAGATGTTAAATAAAATGCAGTTAAGGTCTGCTACGGGAGCTAAACCTAAATTATTAATGCTTTTTATTTATTTACATGCAACGGGATRTGACCTAAAATATATCACCATGATAAAAGAGAAGTGTGTGGTCAAGCCAGCTTAAGGTCATCTGTAGACTAGACCAGTGGTTCCCAAACTTTTCAGCTTTTGACTCACAAAATACCAGCAGCAGAGCCCTGTGCCTCCAGCTGTTGTCGGTTGATAAACATTGTTTTCACGTAGGGCTGCACGATAACTCATTTTAAGAACCGATACCGATAACCAATAACTTTTTCATTCTAATGGCCGATAACCGATAATAACTGATAACATGCCAAGAGATGAGACTAGTCAAAAATGGGTAAGATCACAACATTAACAAACACCAAAACCAAATGACACTGTAAATTATAC